CCAAAGCCTTAGATGAGTCCAACTTTGCCAGCTTCATCTATTCCTGCCGTTTCAATGAGGCGACCTGTACCAAAGCGTGAGTCCCAAAGTAACTGCTGCTTACTGGCTGCCGTCCTCCTTTATTCCAACCTAGTTTTCACAATTCTGGGGTCTACATTTAAAAGATCTCTGTCGCGGTGATCTTTTCATCATGGATCAAAGTCAGTTTAAGACCATTTCGATAGCAGATAAAGTGCTGGATCGCCCTCTTAAGCATGTCTTGCCTTCCTCCCCTTCTAGTGTCATCCGTGAAAGAAGGATGTGTGTTTGGTGCAAAAAGCAAGGAGTCTTTACAAGGGGAAGTTTGTTTTGAGGCATGAACATTACCTCTCCTTCCCACTCTGTGCCAGAACTAAAATCCTTCAAAAATCCAGTACAGCATTAATCTGAAGGGCTAAAATGGAGAAGCGTCTTCACCATCTTACCTGCTCTTTGTGAGAACCAGGTTTTTATGGAGAAGGTCTGGACTTTCCCTGAAAGCCTAACTAGGTCTGGGCTTCTTTGTTTCACACTAGGTCCCAAAGCATTCAGTTCTTGTAAGGCTGGTCCAGATAGTCCTTCCAGGCACTGATGAAACCCATGAAGGGGGAGAGGGGATGGCATTTGCCAAACCTGCCCCCAGCCTCTGTGTTCAGTGGAAGCTTGAAAAGCGACTTCTATCCATGCGCCAACAAGCACAGGCAGCGATGCATCCAGTATCTAGGGGTCCTGACTGCACTGTTCCCAATGACAAGGCAAAGTCTACAGACACAAGCCTGCTTCAGACTTTCCAGAGTGGGCCCAGGCCATGAAATTCCATGTCTTCCTCCACTTGTTCAGCCAACATGAGCTGAGCAGAATCTCGTGCAAGAACTCCTTCCCAAAGGGTCATTTTAGTCATGTAATCCATATCCCCTTCTGAATGCTCTTCTTATCTGCTTAAGGGATGTCCACAACGGCTGATGTCTTTCTGAGATTTGTTCTAGTAATGTTCTAGCATGTTTGAGCAGCCCATTCATACTGCACCCAGACCTGCTTTGCATGCAATGCATAGAATTTTGGTAGGGCTTGCAATGGCATTTCCGCTCTCTAATACATTGGAGAAGAGCAGCTGCATGCTCCCTCTTACATGTGTGTTTGCGCATGCATGCGCACACAAACACAGATAGTGCGTCACAGCTGCTTTCCCCTTGGATCTCCAACATTGGCGCCACTGTCTTGTTTTTAAGGGCATGGCTTCTTTTGTCAATCCCAGCCAGTTAGAAATAATGCAGAGAGTGTTTTATTTTATTGTTTTATTTTATTTCATTTAAGATTTTTGTAGATTTACAATCAAAAGAATAACAAAATAAAACAATAAAAATAATAAACCAATAGTAGTAATGGTAATGAACAGCAGTACAGAACAGATGTGAAAGAATGTTTAAAAGTTTGTGAAACTTCAAAAGAAGAAGAAGAAGAAGCTTTCACCTTGTACTAACTGGGGATCCTGATAAGTAAATCCCCATCAGGAATGAATTCTGTAAAGGGGGCACCCCAATGAAGGCTTTCTCCCTGGTTGCCATCTGTGATGGCAGCGATACCAGTAAGAATACACATGATGCAATGCATGTCTTGGCCAATTGCTCTGGGAGAAGGCAATCCCAGAGGTACAGTTTCTAAACCATAGAGGGGTTTTCAGGCCAGCCCCTATACTTTTAATTGTCCCTGCAAATGGACTGTGAACTAGTGGGGTTCCCCAAACACTAGCCAGATGAGATTCTAGCAACTGGTCTAAGTTGGTAGGCTAGCAGTTAATCACTTTGTACTAAGAGCGGTTTGCAAGTGGTCTTAAGGGCAGTCCTACAACACAACACACTGAAGTAGTCTAGCCAGGAAGTCACCACAGCACAAATTAAATGGATGACACTGCAGAGTTACGTGGGAGATCAGGTTTTGTTGTGCGACATCACAAGGCCAGTCCAGGGTGAAGAAAGGGTCTCCATTTGAACTGGCTTTGGGGGGGTCTCTTCAAGAAGTGTCAGAATTAAGGGTGGGTGGACACCATTCTGCTATGAAGCTTTCCCAAAACATTGTCCCCATTCCATTTTAGCTATGTGTTGTTTATTTTTGTTTTCTGTTCGCGTTATGTACGTTGTTTCTAAATTTAATCATTTACAACACAGATATTAACATCAACTAAAACCACATGGGTATACGTTCCATACCCCTGTTTCTCTAATCCACTGGCCAAGCCCTACTCCCACCACCTTTCTCAGGCATGTTGTTGCTGTTAAGCCTCACTACATGCACATTCACCTGTTCACTGATTCAGATATCTCATATATAGTTATTTACTGAGTCCTGGCTCCAAGACTCCTCTTTTTCAATAGATCTAAATTTATGAACAGAATATAGCAGTCTAGAATAGCAAAGTCATGGAGGATCAGAGTGTGAAAGAGCATAAAGACAGAGGTGGGGGATGAAGAAAAGAAGGGGGGAGAGAGAGAGAGAGAGAGAGAGAGAGAGAGAGAGAGAGAGAGAGAGAGCACTATTCCCACTTAAGACCATAACAAGTTATTTCTGCAAAGCCGTTCCACTTGTGGTTTGGCAGCTGCAGCCATGTCAATGAATTGGCCTCTTCTGCCAAAACAGGGTTCAAAAACACCCAACCTCTGTCTTTATGCTCTTTCACACTCTGATCCTCCATGACTTTGCTATTCTAGACTGCTATATTCTGTTCATAAATTTAGATCTATTGAAAAAGAGGAGTCTTGGAGCCAGGACTCAGTAAATAACTATATATGAGATATCTGAATCAGTGAACAGGTGAATGTGCATGTAGTGAGGCTTAACAGCAACAACATGCCTGAGAAAGGTGGTGGGAGTAGGGCTTGGCCAGTGGATTAGAGAAACAGGGGTATGGAACGTATACCCATGTGGTTTTAGTTGATGTTAATATCTGTGTTGTAAATGATTAAATTTAGAAACAACGTACATAACGCGAACAGAAAACAAAAATAAACAACACATAGCTAAAATGGAATGGGGACAATGTTTTGGGAAAGCTTCATAGCAGAATGGTATCCACCCACCCTTAATTCTGACACTTCTTGAAGAGACCCCCCCAAAGCCAGTTCAAATGGAGACCCTTTCTTCACCCTGGACTGGCCTTGTGATGTCGCACAACAAAACCTGATCTCCCACGTAACTCTGCAGTGTCATCCATTTAATTTGTGCTGTGGTGACTTCCTGGCTAGACTACTTCAGTGTGTTGTGTTGTAGGACTGCCCTTAAGACCACTTGCAAACCGCTCTTAGTACAAAGTGATTAACTGCTAGCCTACCAACTTAGACCAGTTGCTAGAATCTCATCTGGCTAGTGTTTGGGGAACCCCACTAGTTCACAGTCCATTTGCAGGGACAATTAAAAGTATAGGGGCTGGCCTGAAAACCCCTCTATGGTTTAGAAACTGTACCTCTGGGATTGCCTTCTCCCAGAGCAATTGGCCAAGACATGCATTGCATCATGTGTATTCTTACTGGTATCGCTGCCATCACAGATGGCAACCAGGGAGAAAGCCTTCATTGGGGTGCCCCCTTTACAGAATTCATTCCTGATGGGGATTTACTTATCAGGATCCCCAGTTAGTACAAGGTGAAAGCTTCTTCTTCTTCTTCTTTTGAAGTTTCACAAACTTTTAAACATTCTTTCACATCTGTTCTGTACTGCTGTTCATTACCATTACTACTATTGGTTTATTATTTTTATTGTTTTATTTTGTTATTCTTTTGATTGTAAATCTACAAAAATCTTAAATGAAATAAAATAAAACAATAAAATAAAACACTCTCTGCATTATTTCTAACTGGCTGGGATTGACAAAAGAAGCCATGCCCTTAAAAACAAGACAGTGGCGCCAATGTTGGAGATCCAAGGGGAAAGCAGCTGTGACGCACTATCTGTGTTTGTGTGCGCATGCATGCGCAAACACACATGTAAGAGGGAGCATGCAGCTGCTCTTCTCCAATGTATTAGAGAGCGGAAATGCCATTGCAAGCCCTACCAAAATTCTATGCATTGCATGCAAAGCAGGTCTGGGTGCAGTATGAATGGGCTGCTCAAACATGCTAGAACATTACTAGAACAAATCTCAGAAAGACATCAGCCGTTGTGGACATCCCTTAAGCAGATAAGAAGAGCATTCAGAAGGGGATATGGATTACATGACTAAAATGACCCTTTGGGAAGGAGTTCTTGCACGAGATTCTGCTCAGCTCATGTTGGCTGAACAAGTGGAGGAAGACATGGAATTTCATGGCCTGGGCCCACTCTGGAAAGTCTGAAGCAGGCTTGTGTCTGTAGACTTTGCCTTGTCATTGGGAACAGTGCAGTCAGGACCCCTAGATACTGGATGCATCGCTGCCTGTGCTTGTTGGCGCATGGATAGAAGTCGCTTTTCAAGCTTCCACTGAACACAGAGGCTGGGGGCAGGTTTGGCAAATGCCATCCCCTCTCCCCCTTCATGGGTTTCATCAGTGCCTGGAAGGACTATCTGGACCAGCCTTACAAGAACTGAATGCTTTGGGACCTAGTGTGAAACAAAGAAGCCCAGACCTAGTTAGGCTTTCAGGGAAAGTCCAGACCTTCTCCATAAAAACCTGGTTCTCACAAAGAGCAGGTAAGATGGTGAAGACGCTTCTCCATTTTAGCCCTTCAGATTAATGCTGTACTGGATTTTTGAAGGATTTTAGTTCTGGCACAGAGTGGGAAGGAGAGGTAATGTTCATGCCTCAAAACAAACTTCCCCTTGTAAAGACTCCTTGCTTTTTGCACCAAACACACATCCTTCTTTCACGGATGACACTAGAAGGGGAGGAAGGCAAGACATGCTTAAGAGGGCGATCCAGCACTTTATCTGCTATCGAAATGGTCTTAAACTGACTTTGATCCATGATGAAAAGATCACCGCGACAGAGATCTTTTAAATGTAGACCCCAGAATTGTGAAAACTAGGTTGGAATAAAGGAGGACGGCAGCCAGTAAGCAGCAGTTACTTTGGGACTCACGCTTTGGTACAGGTCGCCTCATTGAAACGGCAGGAATAGATGAAGCTGGCAAAGTTGGACTCATCTAAGGCTTTGGTGTCAGGAATCCTTGCTAGGATGTTGATGTAATGGAAGCTGTACCATTCCCGGACAGCGTCCACCCCTGAGGAGTACATTTGGCGGAAACAGTCGGTATTGTTTTCATTACACTGCAAAGGAAAGTAGTCCCATTAAACCCCTCACAGAATGGAAGAGAAACGGTGTGGGGGGTGGGGGTAGCTGGGTGAAGACACCCCTAGGAAGGCCTCAACAATTATAGGCTCCCTATAAATATATGTAAATAAATCCCTGTTTTAGGAAAAACCATGGATAGGAATTTCAGACACACCCAGAGAAATTTCCAATCCATCTTTTCTCCAGTCTGGCTTCAAGAATTCCAACCTCAAGTTAACTTCCACCCTCCCCACTTAGTTTTGTAATACCCTGTGTGGCAAAATGACCTATAGATCAAAATAAAATAAAAATAAAATAAATTGGGCCACAATTTTGTGTAAGTTGAGGCCTAATAAAGTTTAATTAGGCCTAATAAAGGTGCTGCTTGACCATGGAGAAAAGCCGCACTCCAACTGCTTGATGACCATAGAGTGTAAGGGCACCAGGAGAGGCTCAAATCTTGGCTGTCAGAAGCAATGTGGTTCTAAGATGTGTACCTTTTTTTAGCACAGATAAATGACAGGTGCATTTTTTAAACATTTATTCCTTTGACTCAAGGAATCTTGGGAAGTGTAATTTTGTGAGATGCTACTATGGAATTAAGGCATGTGTAGGCATGCCTTAAAGGGACTGCAGGTGGCACAGTGGTTTAAACTGCTGTGCTGCTGGGCTGGTTGATCGAAAGGTCGCCAGTTCAAATCTGCACAACGGAGTGAGTTCCCGTTACTCCATCCCAGCTCCTGCCAACCCTGCAATTCGAAAGCATGCAAATGCAAGTAGATAAAAAGGTACCACTTCAGTGGGCAGGTAACAGCGTTTTGTGCACTTTGGTGTTTAGTCATGCTGGCCACATGACCACGGAGACTGTCTGCGGACAAACGCTGGCTCCCTCGGCTAGGAAATGGAGATGAGCACTGCCCCCTAGAGTCAGGCATGACTGGACTTAATGTCAAGGGACAACCTTTACCTTTAGGCATTAATTAAGCCCTGCTGTCTGCAAGCCAGTGCATCCCACCCCGCCAGTTCATTTCTGATGATGTGACATAAAGCTGCAAGTTCTGAAAGGAGTGCTGCTTGAATTCTCATGAACGTGAGTAGGATGTTCTGGACAATCAGGGCCTCACTGCTGAATGTAGCAAGGTGAGGACTGGAACTGGCGGACACCGCAAGAAGGAGATGGGCCCACATGCATGTCAGATAGAGAATTTGTCAGTGCCCTCAAACTACAGTTCCTAGGATTCTTTGGGGCCATCACTGTTGGATAATGGAACCCATCCAATGCTTCCAGACATACTAAATGCTGTCTTTATATAAGGCAACTCTGCTGTAAGTAACTCAAAGCTGACTTTTCAATGCTCATGTCAGTTATACAGGCATAAAACTGATAGAAATGTGTAGCATGGATGCAAAACGGTTCAGTTATCAAACTGTAAAGTGTCATTTATTTTCTCTAGTGGCCTGTGACATTTGAATGTTGTAAATTTGCTATATTTGAGAAGCTCAGTGACACCCAACCAAGTTAGATTACAACAGTGTAGCTTGGAATCCAGGAATCTGAGCCCTGTGGCTAATTATTTGTCATATAGAAGCCAGTAATTCTCATAATAAGGTGCAATCCTTTGCATATTTAGAAAGCGAATAAAGTCCTACAACTCCTGCATTCAGTTGGTATGGCTAGCTGAGGCATCCTGGGAGTGATAGGCCTTTTTCTGTCTGAATATGCATAGGAGTGTTCCTTTGAACTACTAACCGGTGGTTTAGAAGTAAAACAAACAAATACCAAATGATGCATCAACAAAGCATTACATGATTGGGCACAAGAGACCCTTTAACACTGATGGCCACGTTTCATCCTGGCCTGGATGTTGGTGCCACTGATGATGTAGCAGATTCTCTTAATGAGGTGCAGCCATGCTGGTACCTGCCAACCATGCCTGGCACCAAGAGGGAGGTGGTCAATGAGACATGGCTCAGATGGGCAGCATCCAAGCTTGTCATGTCCCTCCATTGACCTAGGTTCAATTGACATTTTGGGGAACATGGTTGTCCAGCACACGAGCTAGGCTTGGATTGTCATGATTACTGCAGAATGCTGTGGTTGCAACCCTTACCACAAAGATAATGAAATGCGGAATGTTCTCTGTTTCAGATCCTGCAGAAGATGACTCTGAGTGGAACTGGAACTTTAAGTTTTGTAAATATGTGAATAGGTAAGTTGCCTGGAGGGCTGGTTGAGGCCAGCAACCAACCGACCGACCAACCAAAATACTATCCATACAGTGCTTCCATTGTTGGAAACACCCTGCCACCAGGGTACCACAGCAGAAGGTTTTCTACTTGTAATCTCATTACAGCACAGGCAGGTTTTGGTTACTTGCCAGTTCAAGATTTGTGAGAAGTACGCAATAATTCTAAGAATATTCTAAGAAAAAGTAATCCTGCAGTGCAAGGGCGAGGGAGAGAATTCAGGAGAGAGGGGACCCTGGATGTTTTTTCCCTAACCATTGAATTTCCCGACATCAAGCAAAATACTGGACTTCAAAGGAATAATAGGGGAGGAATCATGTGAGGAAAGGACACTGGACAGACAAAGGGTGAGGGGGGAAACAGAGAGAGCTGAAAGGTGGTGAGGCCGTCATTACCACGACAAAAGCAATTTTCCAGTCATCCTTGTCTACTTGGGGATTGCTGTCCTTCATGCTGGCTCGGCTGTCACGCTTACATCTTTGCAAAGTGTGGCGCTGGATGTGAAGGTGCAAGCTTCTGGTGCTGCGCTTCCGGGAGGGCTGAGTCGCCTGGTTACTCTGCCCCTGGGTCATGTTGTATTTGTACAGCGTCATCAGCTGTTCGCGGGTCATATCATCCAGGTCTTCCAGCAACTTCTGAAGACCGCTATACCTAAACAAACATGGCAGGGTGGGTGCCCAGGGTCAGTGGAGAAGGCAGAATATGGTCAAACTGTGGTGGGTCACCTAGCATGGGATGCTGAGATCTGATCCCTCAAAAAAACTATTTCTAAAGAAGCCACTCCCAGTGTTCCAAATTAGGGCTATGCTGGCTGGGGATAATGGGCCTTGAAGGCCAAAGCGTTTGGAGAGCATCTCTTTGGGGAAGCTTTTTCTAAAACAAGGGTACGTGTGTGCAGGATCCTGGAATATCGCTTAACTGTCAATGGATCATGAGCATCAACTCGTGCTTTACAAGTCTAGCGCACCTGTGGGCAGCATAGATTTGGGCACATCGATTTGGGCAGGGGAGTAGACCATGCAAGAGGAGGGGCACAGCACCAGGCTTACCTATAAGGATTGAGAGTGCACAGGGTGACAGCAGGGAAGGTAAGCCCATCAGAAGCGAAGTTCAGCTTCAGGCTGACAGGAAAGCTGAAGTACTCTCTATAGATAATTCCAAACTGCCAGTACATGAGGCCAAAGGTGAAGAAAAAGAGTACCGACCAGAAGGCAGTCTTCATCTTGTTCTTCTTAGAGCAAACCAGCCGGATGGCTCCATGGATGGTGGTGTTGTTACAAAAGAACTGGAAAAGGTCCTGGTAGGAGCTGAAGAACTCAAAGAGACCCTCTTTTTCTTCCGTTTTCTCCCCTTCCTCCTCTGCCTCCCCCTTGGTTTTCTGCTGCACAGGCTCTGCTTTGAGCTGTTCTGTCCTCTTGTCTTCTGGTGGATTTTCAACCTTCATAGTTACAATTAGAGCTGGAAAGAACATCCACAAATGTTCAAAGTTGCCCACTTCCCACATCATCATTCAATTTTCAAAGCAAAATCCCAAATCCCAAATTTGAATTCACATTTCGGGTGTGAAATTGTCCCTTCATCTTGGAAATCAGAGTGGCAGAAAGCCCAAGGCCGTGCTTGCTTACTCCAAGGGAAAGCCCACCAAGTTCAATGGACTTGGGCCCATGTGATTGCAGCCAGAGAGGTCTTGTTATCTCTTGATTGCTTTGATATTGATAGACACTGAAGAGGACATTTCAGAAATACATTGAATATTGTGTGATGCAAAGAGCTTTGCAGTATCCTAAAGTCTAACAAGTTCAGAATGACAAAAAGTTGCTTTGGTAGACTAATATGGCCATAAACCCTGGATGTACTAAGTACTATTCCATGTCAGTGATGACATTTGATCAAATAATAATTACTCCTTGCAGAGTGCTTAAACCTAAGCACTGCACAATATATCAAATACTGCTTCATACATAGATTTCAAAAAATCAATTGCATGTCGGCGATTAACCAGATAATGCCATGGAGCGTCAGTGTGGTGCTGTGGGTGCCAGACTGGGACTCGGGAGATCTGGGATCTAGTTCCCACTCTGCCATGAAGCCCACTGGATGACTTTGAACCAGTCACTGCCTCTCAGCCTAACCTACCTCACAGGGTTGTTGTGAGGATAACAAGGAGAAGATACTGTTGCAAACCACCTTGCTTTTCCTGCAAGAGAAAGAAAGGGGGAATAAATAGCAGTAGTAACAACAACTACATGTCAGTGGTAACACAGTGAGTAAACTTGTACAACATCCCATCATGGGTTAATTTACCTGTGAGGAGCTGCTAAACATACTGACTGCCATTATGCATAATATAGGCCCTGACTTGAAGCTGCTTTGACTTGTCATGACATCCAAACTTGCTAGTGAGGGATATTTGAGGGACAAACAACCCTTACAAAATCCTTTGGCACACCATGGGCTATGCAAGGGTTGTTTAACCGTCAAGTAACCTCTGTACAGAGCTTCATAATGGTGGAAAACATGCTGCAGCATCCTGAGGGTTAATTATCCCATCCTGAGGGTTAATTAACCCATAGTGAGCTTGAGTGTTAACCAATCCTGGCTGCTGTCAAATAATAAATACTGAATTCAGTTCCTGACACCTTACTTTGATATATTATCATTTGATACTTGATTTCAGATATCACTAGATGTCCGATGGAATGACCAAACACTTAATTTAGCGTTTTTTCAGAGAATTGCCAATGAAAATGGTGGGTGGAGGGTGGGGGTGGTAATTTCAGCTCTAGTTACCATTTTCCACATAACGGAAAGCTTCTCCATGTATATCTTTCCCTTCTCCTAGAAAACTAGCATGTCAGGAAAAAGGACTGCAGCCTAGCCTTTGCTCTAACATGCTTGCTTCTCTGTTTGGCATTTTGTTGGCTTTGTCCCCCCGCATGTGAAAGGCCTTGACAGAACCCTGCATGTTCAGGAGCATGGGAGAGAAACAGGAATCCTGGGGAAAAGATCCCACTACATCCTCAGGGATCTTTCTCATTCATTCTTGTTGCCAGAATGGTGGGGTTATGGCAGCACTAAGATAAAGTTAGCGCCATTAATATTCTGTCACATTATAGGTTCTGTGTGCTGGATTCCTTGAAGCTGACACATTCGTGTCTAACACTTTCATGTATAAAAACATATCATTTCTAGGTAAACAGATGGGTAGAAAACATGCTGAAATGTGATAACTGTTGGAGAGGTAAAGGAATGATTCATTGATTTACTTTTGGCCGTGTTCCCTGGGACTTCTTCATGGGTAAGTGTGCCTCTTATTCTCATCCAGACTCCACACTACTTCTACCATCTCATGATGGATTAAATATTCTCCTCTCAACTGAAGCTGGATCCTGCTTCTTCAAGGACAAGGCCTTGAAGCACAGAATTTCTCCTGCCATACTCATTGCCCAGTTTACTAGCTCTGGGGGCCTTCCTTACCGGCTCCGTTAAAGAATATAATATTAATTGGTTCGGTGTCATGCACTCTTTGCACCAACAAAATAAAATTTAAGATATGCTTATAAATGTATACTTTGTGAGAAAACATCATCAAAAGAACAGATTACATCCAGATTTCTTCTCCCTTTAATTCACATTGGCAAAGGGAACAAAGAGATTTATGAACTAACACAAGTGAAATGGATATTGACTGCAAATAGGCCAGTCTGCGGAAAGTCGACTTTTCCCAAGTTTTTGGCTGAAGTCCTCAGTCCTTACTTCCAGCTGTAAAACAAGGAAAGAATAGCTGTTTGCTCAGATACATGCTTGGCCACCTTCACTGATCTTCCATTTTCGGGGTTCTGTTTTTCCTGTTCCCGAGCTGTAAATTCTGATTCCTCCAACCCAGTGACCTGTCTTTTCACTGATGTTCCTGCCAGTGGAAAACACCTTTTCCACATATGTGACTGATCTGTCAACACAGCCGCAGGCGGATTAGGATCGTTCCACATCAGCTCCCATCCAAATAAGAACCATTTCCCAAGGAGAGATACAGTGTTCACCCACAGCAATATATGCCCTCAGCAGTGTGAAAAATCAAGGTCTTCATGATATATGACTTCCCTTACATCCAGGCTTTTGTGTTGTTTGTCTCCCTAACTAATTCTTCAGTCTGTTTTAAAGGATGATCCCAGATGATTCGCTTGAAGTGTCATGAGAAAATGAAAGCTGCTTCAGGTTATCTGAAAAAAGTACTTATTAAGTTTAATTAAGTAGAAGGTTCAGGAGCAGAAAGTATCCCAGTTTTGTCATCTTCTCCATTTAGATTTAAATGTGAATTCATTTATTTATAATCCTTTAGTCTAGCCTCTTAGTTTAATCTCTGCCTTGGAAGTAGCTTTTTAAATAGATATTTTAAGTGGATATTTTGTTCTATGAAGTGCAGAAAGTGTGTCTATGAGGAGCAAGGGATTGGAGCAGCTCCTGCATGAGAAAAGGTGACAATAGCTGAGATTGTTTAGCTCAGAAGGAAAAGGCGAGTGAGCGGGGACATGAGGGGAGTGCTCAGAATTATGCATGGTGTGGAGAAATGGAGAGGGAGACATTTTTCTCCTTCTTCCATAATACTGGATCCCAGGGTAATCCCATGAAGCTGACTGGTGGGAGAATCAGTGCAGAGAAAAGCAAGTGCTTCTTCACACAGCACACAGTTAAACTATGGAACTCACTGCCACAGGAATTTGTGATGGCCACCGATTTGGATGGCTTTAAAGGGGAGCTGGACAAATTCCTGGAGGAGGAAGATGCCAATGGCAATTAGCCCTTATGCTACCTCCAGTATCAGAGGCAGTATGCCTGTGTACTCCAGTTGTTGGGGAACATGGGCAGAAGGGTGTGTTGCTCTGGTTCCTGGATCCTGTGGGCAGCTAGTTGGCCTCTGTGTGAGCAGAATGCTGGACTAGATGGATCTTGTCCTGATCCAGCAGGGCACTCATATAATATTACTGCAGAGTGCTTGGAGAGGTTGCATACACCTGAAAAGCAGCTTATAGATGTCTGAAATGAATCCAATGGATAAATGGTGCATTCCTAATAAGGAAATCTGCCTGCAGAGCAACTGCAGGATTTCACAGAAGCCACACTGCATGGGTGGAACGCCACATACTCCACTGCTGTGGAAGTGACGCTGGCGCGAGACTTCTGATATGCAAGTCACGGCCGTCACAGGGGCTCCATTAGGCAAAAGACACCAGCAGAATAGCTGGAGCCGGACTGGCTGGTGGGCAGCATGCAGGCAGCTCAGGGGCAAAACAAGCTCATGCTGTCCCCTAAATCCATGGCCAGGGTGCCCTGCTGATGGCACATTTTACACAAGCTCTCTGGGAAATTTCCATCCTGCTGATTTCATGGGTGGTGGTGGTGGTGGGGGGATAAATACCTCCACACACACGTACCTCATGGTGGAGGATAGGCTGCAGCATGATTCAGTCTCCCATCCGAGCATCACCAGCAGTGTATCACTCACTCCTTGGGAGACTCACTCCGGCACTGTGTCTTTCTGGCTGCTCACCTCATGCTCAAATGGGGAAGTCTCCGTGGAAGGCAGCTATGGGGAAAGGGCTGCTTCTGCACAAACACCAGGTCTCAGGTAACCTGGGGAAATTTGAGCACCTTGCCTAGAGCACCTTGCAGTTCACCCTGAGAGAAACATCCAGCCAAGCTCCACTCCAGCAATGCGAGAGGGAGAAGGTGTCAGGTTGAGGACCTCAAACTAGAAAGTGAGGAAGTATGTGAGAATGCGTGATTTCTGCAGCTGCCTCTGCATGGGGTGGATACTGTGTTTTGCCTGAAGCGCGCTGCTCCCATATGCCTCTCCTTGCAACCCCTCCGGACAACAGCAAAGAGCCTTGTCCTCTGCACAGAAGAGGCACTCTGCTGGCAAGGCCAGGTGCTTGGCTCCAACCATTGCCACTACTGGCCCAACACGCAGGGACTTGCAGGGTCACAGCCCGAGTGCAAACGGCAGGATGAGCTGCCATGAAATGCAGTGAAGGGCCAGCAAGATGTGATGGGGCTGGTTTTCATATTTATTTTTGCAACTGCCCCGTTGATACACAAAACTGGATGGGGTGCGCGTGTGTGCGAGGGTGCTTTGGGGTAGCAGTGTGACCCTGCCTTCCACTGATTTCATGGTGCTGGGCCACTTTGATGCTTCCCGTGCCAGCTGGACTGAGCTCTTGTATGTGGGATGGAGTGGCAAGAAGGTGCTTGCAGCCCCATGTTACAGAGTGGTGAGCGGGATATGTGTGTGTCCGCGTGTGTGTGTCCTGTGTTGCATACCCCTCGTCACTTTTGCAGTTAAAATTCAACCTCTCCCTCTGTAAACCAAAACAGGATAGCTCCGTGCTCATTAAATGTGGAATACCCCATCTCTTTGCAGTGCCCGGAAACCACGAGCACTCGAAA